TAGGGTTTAGCGTTTAGGGCTTAGGCCATAGGGTTTAGGGTTTAGGGTTTAGGGTTTAGGGTTTAGGGCCAAGGCGCTCAATTGTGCAGAGGAATTTGTTCCCTTCCTCCGTCTGAAAGCTGCAGTCATCTTGGACCAATTCCTGGGTTCTGGTTGAGGAATAGCCCAAAGACTCCCAAACCCCTTCATGCCTATAACCCTGACTACACCCTAGACCCTAAACCCAAAGCCCTAAACCCTAAACCCTCAGCCCTAAACCCAAAACCCCTAAACTTTAAGGTCTGTTCCTTCATGAGCAGCCCTAAACCCCAAACCCCCTAAGCTTTAAGGTCTGTTCCTCAATGAGGGGGCTTTTGGAGTCTCTGGGAGAGTCTAGGATTCAAGGTTTAGGGGTGAATCTGGTCCAGGAGCATATACGGTAGGAACTTAGATGCGCCCAGATTCTGCACAGTCCCGGGTCCATCTCGAAGTGACTTTACTCTGGATCAACGACCTGCCCGTGGCGTGGCAGTCCTCAATCTTTTGGGCGGTGCGACAGCCGAAGAGGAGGTAAAGTGTCGCCCAGCAGTGCGGCGAGAGGCGATAGTGATGCATAGTATGAGGTATCAGAGATCTGTACACCCCGGGCGGTGTATACTATGTAAAGTGACAGCAAGAAGCCTGAGCAGCTGCGGCAACCATGAGCCGTTTGTAAAGGTGTTCATGAAGCGTTTCAGAAAGCATTCCAGAGGGGCTTTTATACAGGAGTTCCAACAGTTTGAAAGGGCTATATAGTTCGCAAGATCTTACACTCGAGTCAACTGCCCAAGCGCCCGGTGCATAAGCGTGCATGCTCTGCAGTTTAGTCTATCACGTAACCGCATATCGATTAACGCCCTTGTAAACTGGCACTAAGCTACGAAACCCCGAAAAAACCTTAGCACTTTGGGGGAACGTTTTAAAACCCCTCATGAACCCCCACCCTGAATCCTGTGATGACTGGTAGAACCCTATAGAAGCCCTCAGAAAAAAAAATAACACTTTTCCTACCCTCCACCTACAAAGTTCCCCTCCCGATGTGCCCCTAAACCCTAAACCCTAAACCCTTAACCCTAAACCCTAAACCCTAAACCCTAGACCCTGCCCTAGACCCTAAGATGTGCTCTGTGCCTGCCGCAGCTCGGCGGAAAGGGGCGTCTCGCCCGCGAAACTCAGAGCTTCCAGCATGGCCTTCTTCCTCTGCAAAGCAAAACAGATGGGTATAGAGTTTAGGGTGTAGGGTTTTAGGGTTTAGGGTTTAGGGTTTACGGTTTAGGGCTTAAGGGTTTTAGGGTTTAGGGTTTAGGGTCTGCAAAACAAAACAGATGCTTCGATATGGGGTTTAGGGTTTAGGGTTTAGGGAAGCTTTGTATAGGGCTGTCATAAGGGCTTTACGACGGTTTCGGAATGGTGTTATAAGGGTTTTGTCATTGTCTTAGTTTTGGAAAACACTTCATGAAGGCGTTGCAAAGGTCTGTTTAGGGGTTGACCACGACACAGACCGTCAAAGAGCCGTCGCAGGTGTAGCTTAGAGAGCCAAGACGGCGTGAACCCTGACATGTAAGATGTACTTAGAAGCCGCAAACACGCAAAGCAAATGCTCTTCTACTTCCTTGGGATCGGGTCCCACAGCCCTCACCCTGAGACCTTCGCATACTTCACATCCTAAAACCCAAATCGAACACCCGAGCGAGTTAAAGCCCTACGCGCGAAAAGCCCCAAACGACAACCAAGACCCCAAAGCCCGAAATCCCAACACCCTCAAACCCTAAACCCCAAACCCTAAACCCTGATTACAACCCCTGAACCCTAAAAGCCTTGAACTCTTGAAGCCGATAGAATGTCGGAACCGTCAAGATCTCCCTTAAAAGCCCTTGAAGCATACGTAATTATTAAACCTTAGGAACCCTGAAACAACCCTTACTTGCGGGATCATGGGACTTAGTAAGTAAGGTTATAAGTCCCCTAATTGGGGTTATACGTGAATATGTATAGTTACCGTAGTTATAACCCCAATTACTAAGTCCCATGATCCCTTAAGTAAGGTAATGCAGGATTTAGATCATCAACAGTAGGTATAACCCCAATTAAGGGACTTATAACCTTACTTACTAAGTCCCATGATCCTTTAAGTAATGCGTGAGCCGTACGTCAGATGGCCTGGCGCACTCGTCGCAGCCACAGCCGGCCATGCTTGACCATGCACATTAAGCTTAGGGGCTTAGGGGTTTAGGGGTTTAGGGGGTTTAGGGGCTTAGGGGCTTAGGGGTTTAGGGGTTTAGGGTTGAGTTAAGGCTGTTCGTGAGGGTTTCGGTGCAGTTTCCGTTCTACAGGGCGGTATACGATGGTATAATAGGGTCTTGTAGAGCTTCCCCTAAACCCTAAACCCTAAACCCTAAACCCTAAACCCTAAACCCTAAACCCTAAACCCTAAACCCTAAACCCTAAACCCTAAACCCTAAACCCTAAACCCCTAAACCCTGCTGGGGAGCCGAGTACTTCTTGGGGGAAGTCTGTTGAGGTACCCCACCTTGAGTGCTTAAGGCTGTTAAGCCTCTACTTCGGGATATCTGCGCAACCTGGGTTCCAGGAAACTTCTTGCTTTATGATCTAGGGAGTGGTTCTTAGGACTTTCGGCTTTATTGGGGGTTTAGGGCTTCGGGGGGAAGGGCTTTGGCCTCCAGCCTTGCTCTACATCCCTAAACCCTAAACCCTAAACCCTAAACCCTAAACCCTAAACCCTAAACCCCAACAACTAAACCCTAAACCCTAAACCTTGAAACTCTAAACCCCGACACTGACAATGCCAATGAGTTTGCAGTGGAAGCAAAGCAGGCTACGTTTGCAGTTGGTTGTTTTTTGGCACGTCTTGGCGCAGGGATGTTTTCATGTGTGCGTTGCTGTTGAGCTTCTTTCTATTTTTTGTTTCTGTCTCAAGATGTTTGATGATAGTCTCAGTTTGGGAAACAATTGTTGCGCATCTGTAAATTTGTTTGGTGATTGAAAATCAAGGACTCACAGAGAGTCTTTTTTTCGTCTTCAAACATTTCAAAGCAATCATTCAACTCTGTAGAAATATTGGTAGTTACAGTTTTGTAGTGGGTCAGTGTTGTGAAATTATTGCCAGGATCTCCATGCATAATCCCAAGGAAGAAGATGGTGTCGATTTGGATTCACTCCCAATTTGGGTGCAGTAAACCCGAAACCCTAAACCGTACCT